AAAAAAACACTAAAGGGGGAAAAACACCCGGCGGGCCCGATAAATGTCCTCAGAGGGCCACATGTGGCCCATGGGCCGTAGTGTAAGGACCCCTGCATTAGAGCCCAGATCTACACAGGTGTTGGGGCGGGGGCAAAGACAGCAGCAGAGGAAACTTCCAGGAGCGCCCCACCGGAGGTGAAGGGGTTCAGTACAGTGTTCGCTCCCTCAAGGACCATGTGAAAAGCGTTCTCTCTAGCTTTCCGGAATAAGACACTTACCTCGTCACAAAATACCATAGGAGTTAAAAAAACAAACAACCCTATACCAAACAGCAATTCAAAATATTTTTTTCATCAAGGAAAAGACTGAAGGCTCAGGCGGGACCTGGCGGAAGAGTCCGGCGGCCCAGGGCATGAGGCCAGCCCAGGGGGCTGCACCGGGCAGCGCGGGGCATGAGGCCAGCCCAGGGGTCTGCAAGGCTCTCACCGGGCAGCGCGGGGCAGTCGGCTCAGCCTCTCCAGGCCTCGGTGGCTTCGCCGTGGTATGGCTCAGCTGCCAACCCAAACGCTGGCAGTTAGAGCCCACCTAGCGGCTCCCAGGGAAAAGGCCTGGTGAGCCCCTTCCATCAAGCTTGAAAACACGGGGACCGATCCCAAGGATCTACCTGTCACCCCTCCCGGGCGATGCACAACAGAACAGTGGGTGAAGGGAGACAGCAGTCAGTGTAAGACATGAAAAAATAATGATTCATAAATGATCAAGGGTTCGGAGGGAGGGGAGGGAGGGGAAAAATGAGGAGCTGATATCAAGGCCTCCAGTAGAAACAGGATGTCTTGAGAATGATGATGGCAACAGATGCACAAATGTGCTTGACACACTGGATGGATGGATGGATGGATGGATGGATGGATGGATGGATGGATGGATGGATGGGTTGTGAGAAGAGTTGTAGGAGCCCCCAGTAAAATGATTTTTTTTAAAAAAGATGGAAAACAAAGGCAAACAGAAAAGCCCCTTCCCTGACCTTGAGTCCATTCTAATGCCAGCCGCCCCTGTAGGGTGGAGTAGAGCTGTCCCAGGAAAGGCCCAAGGTGGCCAACCTGGACAGAGGCAGACCAGCCCGTCTTTCTCCTGCAGCGGGCCGGTGCCTTCAAACCTGTGACCTTTCAGGTAGCAGCTGAGAGATCGCTTTAGCCACCGTGCCACGGTGTGCATGGAAAACCGTGGGAGCACACTTCTACTGTGACAGCCCTGGGCTGTTAACGACCTCAACTGTTCTATTTTTATTGTTGTTCTACAACATGAAACCACCCGATTATTGTGGCTAGATGGAAAACATTTACCATTCTGATCACTTTTGGTGGCGATTTAGGTGAACATCTTGGTTTCCCAGGCAACAATCCGCGCGCGCACACGTTGCTCTGTGACATTGACTGCAGTCCCCACGATGGTTGCTCTTCCCACCGCCTCCCTGCACTGACTTCTCCATTCACCATGCTCTCTGCCCCCTCAGCCCTGCCTTCTGAGCGCTGGCCCTGGGCAAGAGCTGTCCGTTTGATTCAGGTGGTTGATTGCTCGAAGGAGTGCCTGCTGCCCTGGTAGTATTACTCTTCCCTTTACAGACATGCCTATTGTTTGGCTGGAGATCGAGCCGTGGGGGTTCAGTTGCAGACCTGAAGTGCGACTAAGAGCCAATGTTTAGGGGTCCCCCATCTGATCAAACCAGTCAGACTGGTCTCTTTTTATTCTGCCATTGTAATGATTTTGAGTTTGGGGCCACATTTCCCCCATCCACAACCACCACGACCACCACCGTTTTATCTAAGACCTGCTCTATTGTGATCCCTTTTGTTTGCCTGGGTTTTTTTTGGGGGGGCGGGGGGTGTTTAAATCATTTTACTTGGGGCTCGTGCAACCCTTATCACAATGCATCCATCCATCCATTGTGTCAAGCACATTTGTACATTTGTTGCCACCATCATTCTCAAAACACTTGCTTTCTACTTGAGCCCTTGGTATCAGCTCCTCATTTTTTTTACATGTCTTTTTTTTAATCATTTTATTAGGGCCTCATACAACTCCTATCACAATCCATACACACATTGATTGTGTAAAGCACATTTGTACATTCATTGCCCTCATCATTCTCAAAACATTTGCTCTCCACCTGGCATGTGATCCCTTTTAAAGTCATCAGGAGCGGTAGGTGGGCACCATCTAGCTCTGCTGGTCTCGATTCACGTGTACAATGCTCAGTGGCATAAATGGTGTTCCCCACATTATGTAACCGGTTCCACTGTCCATTCCCAAGTTTTTCGTCACCCTTCACAGAAGCTCAGATCTCTCCTTAAACACACTTCCCTGTTGTCCCCTACCCCCACTACCCCCAGTCCCTGACAACCGCTCATAAACTATTCCTGTGACAATCCTCGATATTTCCCGTGAGTGGGAGCATGTACTTTTCCTCCTGGGCCTGACTTGCTGCACTCAGCATCGTGTTTGCGAGGGGTAGCCAGGTTGTCGCGTGCGGAAAGAACACCGTTGTCTTCCTGACGGACTAGTGCCCCGTTGTGCCTATATCCATTTTGTTTCGCCATCATCTGTGGCTGGAGACTTTGGGTGGTCTTCACCTTCAGGCCATTGGGGGCAGTGGTGCCAAGAGCCACGGGCTATGCAGGTCCTTGAGTGGATGGCCAGTTTGTGCTCTCTATGCATCGAGAGGTTGGTGGTTCAAGTCCAGCCTTGGGCAACATGGACGAGAGGCCTGACAGTCCAATTCTGTGGGATTCTGGAAACCCCGAGCACTATAGCTCTGCTCTGAGTTCACGGGGTCACCAAGTTGGATCACCAGATCCAAGGGGTTGGGCTGGGCTGGGTGTGGGTGCGGGTGTGTGGGACCCCCGCTCTCCAGGTCCTCTCTGCCTGCCAGGGGGCTGACTTCTGCTTCTCTCCCCAGGCCTCGGAGGGGGCTTTGGCTATGTTGTCGGGGGGATCCACTGGGACAAGACCAGCTTTGGGAGAGCCCTGGGCGGACAGCTCCGCGTCATCTACATCTTCACTGCAGTCACCCTGAGCGTCACCACCGTCCTGACCCTGGTCAGCATCCCTGAGCGCCCCCTGCGGCCGCTGGGCGAGAAGAGGGCGGCCATGAAGAGTCCCAGCCTGCCCCTGCCCCCGTCCCCACCCGTGCTGTTCGAGGACGGTGCTGGTGAGAACCTCCCTGCTCACTCGGCTACCAGCTTGTACGCCAGCTTCTCCAGCCCCATCTCCCCACTGAGTCCCCTGACGCCCAAGTACGGCAGCTTCATCAGCAGGGACAGCTCCCTGACGGGGCTCAGCGAGTTCGCCTCCTCCTTTGGCACCTCCAACATCGACAGCGTCCTCATCGACTGCTTCACGGGCGCCCAGGACGGCTACCTGGCCCTGCCGGGCAGCTTCCCCAGACAGGCCATCAGCGCCAGCTTCCCGCGGGCCCCTGACGTCTTCTACCACCAGGACCACGGGCTCCTGGAGCGCAGGGAGGCCGCCCTGGCCGCCGGCGGGGATGGGGACATCTTGAGGGTGGGCTCCCTGGACACCTCGAAGCCTCGATCGGCAGGAATTCTGAAGAGACCCCAGACCTTGGCCATTCCCGAAGTGGCCGGGGGAAGCTGTCCAGAAACCAGCAGGAGAAGGAACGTGACCTTCAGCCAACAGGTAAGGGCCACGCTCCGGGGGAACCGGGTGCCGAGAGAGGGGGCGAGGAGGGAGAAGGGGGTTAGGAACCAGCCCTGGGCCAACCGAGAGGCACTGGGAAGTTTGTGGCACATCAGTCAGCAGGCTCTGCACCATGGTGAGCACCCCGCGTGGGGCAGCAGGTAAATGCCCAGCAGGTCAGTGGCTGGAACCCATTCCGTAGCTCCGTGGGAGCAAGGGCCTGCTGGGAGCTCCAAGGGTCCCAGGCTTGGAAGCCAGCAGCTGAGCTCCGCTCTGGCCTGCAGGGTCCCCCGTGGAAGGACAGACTCGGCCGCACCTGGCCACAGTCCGGGGGCTGCTCGCTACGCTGGCCCTTGTCTGTGCTTCATACACGCAAAGGCCATGCAGGCCAGGAGTGGCCTCCAGTGAGTTTCCTGCACTCATTTCGTGCATTGCGTTTCAATCGTCCATCTTTCTAGTCTTCCCTCGCATGCGAAGGTTGGACGTTGAATAAGGAAGCTTAGAGAAGAATCAGTGCTTTGGAAGGATGTTGCTGGTGATGATTGCGGACAGCACCACGGATGGCCAAAGAACAAACAGATCTGTCTGGAAGAAGAACAGCGTGCGTGCCCCTGAGAGGCAAGGATGGCGTGTCATGGATGGGACGTGCTGTCAGGAGAGACCAGTCCCTGGAGAAGGACATCGTGCCTGGGGAAGAGGAGGGGCAGTGACCGAGAGGAAGACCCGCGATGAGATGGACTGACACCGTGGCAGCACTGATGGCTCAGACACACGGACCGTTGTGCGCAGGGCACAGGACCAGGCAGGGTTTTGCTCTGGTGCACACAGGGTCACTGTGGGCTCTGTGCCAACTCGACGGCACCTAACTAGCTAGTATTTCTTGCCAACATCTGCAGCCCACCTTGGCTGAGTGCCAAGAATCTGCGTCTTCCCCAAAAGGCAGAAACAGGGTGGTGTCAGACCTGGCAGAAGCTCTGGGCTTCGCTTCCCCTCCGGTGTCATTTCTTCGGTGTCTAACGTCAAATAGCTGCCCGCTCCGGTGGGGTGGCTGCTGCGGTGGGGTCCTGTCAGCCAGCTCCGGCTCGTGGAGCTACAAGCGAGACTACCCCGTCACGCACCCCACCCCTCACAATCTTCCCTCTATGGGAGCCTGCCGTGGGGGCCCAGCTCAACTGAGAACCTCCCTCTCTGTCGCCCACCCTCCACTTCACACCAAGCATGCTGCCCTTCCCCAGGGCCGATCCCTCATGATGACCTGTCCAAGACGTGCTGTCCTCACGCCTCAAGAGCATTCCGACTGCGTTTCCTGAGACAGACCCACTTGCTCTCTGGCAGTGCCCAGTGAGTCCCCTAGAGGTGGTAGAAACCTGGAACCTGAATGGCAGTGGCGTGTGCTCCTCTGAAGACAAAGAACCTTCTGGAAGCCTGTGTGCAATGGCCCCGGCTGAGCCCATCGCCCGGCTCTGCTGCGCTGCGGGGAGCAGGTGCCCTCCTCAGAGCCTGGGAAGGCTTCCCCGTGATGACGCCGCCGCCTCTGGTGTCAGGGGGCAGCTTGGGTGGCCGTTTCTCCTCAGGGCAGTCTGGCTCCTGGGCTGGCGCCACGAGCGGAGTCTCGCCCTGGCGCCACGAGCAGTCTCCCTTATTATTCATGGCCCTGTGAGTCCAGAGGGCATTTTTCTTGTTCAAGAATGCAAATCTGGTTAGGGTCTAATATACTAGTTACCACTGGCTGTCCGGGTGACTCCCAGTCCCAACGATCGGTGTGTCAGAGTAGAGGAGCCCACGGGTTTCCAGCTCTGTGATCACCAGGCCTTTCTCCTGAGGGGCCTCAGGGTGGATTTCAGAGCAGACGAGACGCAGGCATTCAAGGTGGGCTGGCCGTCAACTCGGGGTGGATCTGAACCATCAACCTTTCTGTTAGGAGCTAGGCCCTTAGCTACTTCCCCTCCGGTTCTCTCGCCCACCTCCTCCTGAGGAAGGACTCTGGGGACGCACCGCGGAGCCACGGCAGAGGGGTATTGAGCTCCTGAACGGCATCCCATGTGGTTGCAATCAGCTGCTAAACCAAAGGTTGGCGGTTCAAACCCACCTGGTGGCTCTGTGGAAGAAAGGCCCGGGGATCTGCTTCATGAAGGGTGACAGCCAAGGAGACCCGCCGGCGCAGCTCTGCTCTGTCCCCATGGGGTCCTGAGTCAGGGAACCACTGGGCAATGGTGGTGGCAATGGCAGTGTGGCAGCCCGTGACAGCTCAGGTGTGGAAGGAGTGAAGAAGTGACCCCCACCAGGGAGCTGAGCCCCGCCCCTGGTCCTCAGAGGGAAGGGGTGGTCTGCTGCTGAAGTCCAGGGCATGGTTGGTCCTGACCAGAGCCATTCCCCAGGTCTCTTGTCCTTACTGAGCTGCTTCCTGCCAAGTCGGGGGTTCAAGCCCACCAGCTCTTCAGTGGGAGGAAGAGGAAGCTGTCTGCTCTTGTGAAGATCCAGTCTCAGAAACTGTCTGGTGGCGGGAGGGATCGGGAGAAAGTATGAGTCAGAACCCAGTCACCGGCATTGAGTTTGGGTTTTTTTCTCCTTGTTCACACTGACTCATCCTGGCTCTAGATAGACCCAGTCATTCTTCAAGTTTCAATGAAAACTGTACTGGAATCTCCTTCCACCTCATTCCTTTTTTCTTTTCTTTTTCTATTTTCATTCTTGATCGAATGTAGTTGTGTTAGTCTGAGTGGACTAGAGAAACAAATCCAGACACACTCATATGTGTATAGGAGAGAGTTTTATATCCAAGAGTAATTGTGTATTAAGAAAACATCCCGGCCCAGTCCAGATCGAGTCCATAAGTTTGATATCAGCCCATAAGTCCAATATTAGCCCACATGTCTGATACTAGATGGTAAATTCTTCTACAGACTCATGCAGCACATGCAATGGTGCCAAAAGTAGGAAGATCACCAGCCAGTGGGTGCAAAGTCTTGTAGAAGTATCTCAGCGCTGGCTCACCTCTCCATGTGGCTCCTCCAGCTCCAGGGCTCTGGCTGCCATCAGCACGGCTCCATGTGGCTTGTCAACAGCACAAGAAGCAGAGAGAGAGCGTCCTGCCTTCAGGGAGGTACACCGGAGTCCCCAGAAACCTCAAGAGAAGACCAGGCCCACACAGAGGCATCATTGGCTATGACCTGATTGACAGGCTAGACTCCACCCCTTCCCTCTAGTTGACAGGAGATGATGGAGCTGCCACAGTAGTTTAAGAACTTTATTGGTCCTGTTGTCAGATTCACAGTTCTTTGAGGAAAGTATAAATCACAATCTATCTAGGTATTAGGAGCTCTGGTGGCGTAATGGGTTACGCACTGAGGTGCTAAGCAACTTGTCAGCAGTTCCAATCCCCCAGCTGCTCTGCAGCAGAAAGATAAGACGATGTGCTCCTGTAAAGATGTCAAGTCTCAGAAATACAGAAGCAGTTCTCCTCTGCTTCTGTGAGGCGAAATCTACTTGATGGCAATGAGTTTGGTTTTTAAGTGTTTACGCAGGCACCGGCTCAAATGCAGACGTCCGTGTGGTTAGCTGTCTCTCCCAGCAGGCAGGGGTGACAAACTCCATGTGGTGTAAAATTTTATTTACTTTCATTTCTCACTTGGGCTAGTCAGGTGTGGATAACGTCATAAGCCCCCCACACCCTTCTCCCCCTAATTGAGCAGCCTTTCGTATTTATACTCGGAACCTTTTAACTCCTTTAAGGATCTGTTCACGGGACTGGAGGTTGTACTACAAACTATGAAAAGAGCTAGTGTGGACTGAAACCTCCTCATCCCAGGGCGGACGGACAGATGGACGGGAGAGAGGCAGAGAGGAGAGTGAGAGGAGAGAGAAGGAGTGTATGTGTGTGCTTGTGTTAGCTAGCTGCTGGCTTGGATTCATGGCAAACTGCTGTAACACTGGATGAACGGGCCCTTGACCCTGCGTCCTCACCCTCACACTTGCCAGCACGTCTGAGACCACCCTGGAAGCTACTGTGCCGTCCATCTCACTGGGCGCTGCCCTCGCTGGCCCTCTGCTTCTCCAAACATTATGTCATCCTGCACAGCTGATACCCTCCTGATGACGTGTCCGAAGCAAGTGGGCTGGACATGGTGATCCATGAAGCTTTCGCTGGCTAACGTTTGGAAGTAGATCGCTAGATCTTTCTTCCGAGTCTGTCTTATTCTGGAAGCTCTGCCAACACTTGTCCACCAAGAGTGACCCTGCTGGTATTTCCAATGCCCCTGGCATCACCGCCGCCATCAGACCACCACACATGCCACCGCAGGACAACAGAGTCACAGTTCAGAGTCAGGTGTTAACTGGCCATCCGAGGATGATCATCTCAATGAGAGAGTTTGCCTACTAACTATCCTGGCATCACACGGCTAAAATCCACCCCTTGCTCCCTGCGGGTTCTGTTCTGAGAGAGTGGGAGCGTCATGGATGCAGGTCGCCCCGAGTGAGGGCTGTTCCTGGATATGTCAGCTTGGTCACCGGGCCCTCTGGGGGGACAGGTGGTCTGCTTGTCTGTACAGACACTCCCATTCACCTGGAAATATGTCGTACACGACCCTCTCTTATGGAAAAGACTTCACAATGTGTAAAGTTGAGTTGACCCTTTCAAAATAACAAGCATGTATTTTGCACTTTACCCGCTATAACTTAGTGGCGTGGTTGTTATGGTTGGGCTGCGATCTGCAAGGTCAACCGTTTAAAACCACCAGCCACTCCTCAGGAGAAAGAGAGGCCGTTCAACTCCCCAACGGAGGTTCAGGCTCAGAAACTCACACGGGCAGTTCCACCCTGCCCTATCAGGTCAATATGAGTCGGCACCCACTCGATGGCAGCGAGCTTTTTGTTTTTAACGTAACTCACGGATTTGGATACAGATCTCACAGGCTCTCAAATGCAGCCACATCCAGATGAACTTCCAGCCCTGGTTGCTCCCAGTCTCCCAAGCCAGGGTGGTCCTGGGAGCTCCATCGCCCCCTTGTAATGAGAAGACAGCCTCGACTTGTTCTGATTGTGGTTGTCATATTCCTCGCAGTATAGTCAGCCCTCCGGGTCTGTGGGTTCCCCAGCCCTGGGTTCAAGCAAATGCTGATCGAAATATGGGCGGGGTGGGGGGTGGGACAGGGAGAGTCCAGAACGCTAGCTCCCCAAAAGCAAAACTTGCATGGCTAGGCGAGCCTGTGCCCGCGTGCTGGCTGTGGCTTGCGGAGTCAGTCTCTAGCCAGCTCAGCCCGGCACCGGCGCGCTGCTCGCCGAGGTTCCGTCTTTCCTTCGCCCTCGGGGTTCCGCGCAGCCTTTGCGCCTGCAAAGACATGGCTCCTCAAAAGCAATTCAGTAGCCTGAGCCCCCTCAAAGGCGAAGGGCGTGCTCTTGCACTGTGTTCGGGCTGTAAGTCATCCGGGGATGATTTCAAGTACACGGACGGGTGCTCACAGGCCAATCCCATAGCCTTTCACACAAGGATC